CACAGTGTAGGATCTATGTTCTCTAGATCTGCAGTTCCCTAACTTCACATGACCCACAAGTCGGATCGTCCTTTTATATCTGATATTCTTGATTCTAGTAATCCTTAAGCTGGGTTTTTCTGCGTCGTTTGTTGACGGATTACGCCTTATCTGGTCGTTCCTGGCCCCATGGCTATGCCGGCAAACTGCAACTTGTACAAATCTTGTTCTTTATTTTTAATGAAAAATCCTCCAAAGATCTTAGCAATCGTGGTTCTGGCAGAGCCATTCGTCACCCAGTAAACTCGAACTCGTGACCTTGCGATTGTGACCTGGGAGCGCTAACCACTGTGCTATCGACCCATGGGTCCAATCTGCAATCTTTTATCAACATTCAACTAGTTGGCTGGCTGAATATTGGCAGATTGCCAACAAAAATCAGTATACATTAAAATCCCGAACAATTATATATAAGGTTATATTTGGGCATCTTAGTAAATTTTTTGTTAGCACTTTTATATTGATATGTATTAGCTACGTTTCAAATATCAATAGCTAATATAATATTTAATATCTTTTTAAAATACATGCTTTTTTTACACTAATATGTCAGCTCTGAAAAAAGAAGAAAAAAAAAACTCTCGGATTTTTACTACCAAATTTTCAAATATAAGATTGAATATCTATAGTTCATTAACAAAATTTTAATATAACATATTTATCGTATCGATTGTCCATTTTAAAATATAATTTTTCACTCAAAATACATAGATTTCGAATATAGCCTTTTTTAAAAAAAGGGGCTATATTTGCAGTTTTTCAATCAAGAACTTGGACATTATTTATTGATTTCCAAACTTGTATAAATAATTTTCAATTTTTTGCATGTCCCTGGGCCTCATATATAATTATTCGTAGTCCTTATACATTAAGCACATTTAGCACATTCAGCAGCTAATTAATATAATTTCAACTAGAATAAACTGATACTGATTTTTGTCGGTTTAACTAGTGTCCAATGTGCTAAGTCGGCTTTCCGTTGCCTAAAGAATTCTATTTTAGACTTCATTGTTTTACTTGGCGACACTCAAATATACAGAGGATAGGATCCTGATACAAATCAATTTTAAACACATTTTAACGTTTCAGATTTAGTCGGAGGGCTGATACGATAAAATATAAAATCAGGTTTTTTATGTGGTACTGTAGCATTCAAATCATAAGCCTTGATTTGAGAAATTCTAACGTTGCAGCCGCAATCAAAAAAGGAAATTTTAACAATGTTTACTCAATTTGGATTAAGTTTAGCACGCGTGTGTGACGAATCATAGTGTGACTAATAAAGAGCGTGATGAATAATACCGGATTAGCTGTATATATAATCTGAGATTAATTCGTCACGCCCGTTATTAGTCCACTCATGATTTATCATGCTTCCGTGCCAAATAAAAGGTATCAGCTATTCTAAATCCCTTAATTTCGTAGAAACTTACACTAGCGCTAAATGAAAATTATAGGATTTTCATCGCTTATTAAGCTTTTGATAATTTATCTATATTAGATTATTTGTTTTTTTTTGATGTAAAACAAATAGTCACTATGAATGAGATTGTTTTGGTAGCACATTTCATTAACATTAAGTACATATAAGCTCATATTCGATAGTATTTTACTGTCTTGCTAGTATCGGCTCAAATTTCTCATTCTCCGTTGGTTAGATATGTCTCTTACTATTTATCAACATACTGAAAGATTAGTTCGTGAAAAAACCATTCATTTAATAGAATATGCATTCGAACAAGCACCAGGAGAGCCTAAGGATGAACATAAATTATATGTCAAAAAAATATGGAATAAAGGGAATAAAGAGAAAAAGCTAGTAAACTTAAGCATATTGAAGGATTTTGATATAGACGGCGATAGTGTCACGAGATTGATGGTCGAAGTAGGTACTAAAAACTTCTCTCATTTGCCATCTAGAAACTACTAATATTTATTCTCGTAGCTCGAACCGTTTGCACACGAAAATGTGTTGGGTGTTTTCGGCCTAACTTTCGGTTAGTAAATTCTTTAAAACATTAATTTTGAATATATATGTAAACTGTTTATTAATATTTTAAATGTGTATGTTAGATGGAAACAATTACTATTTTGTTCGTGAGTGCGCTAACATGGACTTGCGCACATATCTTAAAATGCGTTCAAAAAGTAATCCTCTGAGATGGCATGATAAATTACTATTAACAAATGGAATAGTTAATGGTTTAAAGTTTCTTCATGATAAAGAGATTGTCCATTCTGAATTGGTATAAAGTTAAAAGTCTAACTGTCTTCTGTTTATTATATTCAAAGCCTTATAATGTTTTAAATTTTTAGCATGCCAAGAATATAGTTATGCACAATGATATTCCTAAAATAACTAATATTGGAATGCTTCAAGCCCGTGAACCTCGTGACTTTAAATATAGCCCTCCTGAGATTTTGTTATTACAGTCGATTAACGATAAGAAAAAGTTAAACATTTATAGCCTCGGAGTTTTGATGTGGGAGATTTCCAATGACGGTATTGAGCCTTTCTCCCAAAGTAGTGGTATTAAATTAGCACAATTAGCGATTCAAATTATTAAGGGTGTTCGAGAATCACCCATAAGTGGAACGCCACTCGAATTCGTTGAACTTTACAAGAAATGTTGGGATGAAAACCCTGGTTCAGTATTATTATGATTTTATTATTTATCAATGTGACGATTAATAATTATTAGCTAAATTAATAACGATTAATTTTTATTAGACGTCCGACCTGATTGCGCGCAAATTATTGAAACCTTAAAACATATATCACTCTTAAATCCAATTAAAATTGAAAACACAGCCGGCTCCCGGATGTATGAGCCCAAACCTAGCAAGAACCTCGATTTTGATTTAGCTTGCGAATTGAATTATAAAGACTTGTCTAGACAAAAAAAGTTGAGGATTGAATTCATAAACCATTTTGCCTTAAACCGAGGTAGAAATCCTAAAGAACTTGATTTTAGTTGCGGAGTAGGAATTATATTGCGTGATGATGGTAACCCAAAAGTTAATAAAATTGCATCAAGTTCTCCAGTAATCTATCATCCGTTAAACCATGAATCACCTTGGACGGATCTAACGAATCTATTTGAGATTAAAAATGAAAATAAAATGGGTCCAAAGTACGACGTTGTAAGGATCCATATCCCAATTTCAACCGTGCAATATGAAGCTAAACCCAAAAATGAATTTATTCAAAATATTAGAAGTGCGCTTAATTTGTTGGATGAAAATGATAGACGAAAAGAACTGGGAAAGTGGTTTAAACATTACGGTAATTATGTTGTGAAAAGAGCCACACTTGGAGGTGCTATTACAATTAGAAATTGGTCAAAAGTTTCAGATGAAAGTAAATCATATTTAAAGAGTTACCTACAATGGGGGATTGACTATGGAAAGGGTGCTTCTGAAATTTTTGAAGATGTTTCACTTGATAGATTGCCTCAACTTGAGGTATCTGTTGAAATTGAAACTATCGGCGATTTATATAACTGGTTTAAAAGTTTGTACGATTTAAAATTCGTTGAAATTATATCTTATGAAGAATTCATCCCTTCTTACGAATTATTGCCTCAAGACTTACAACAGCAATTATTTAAACTTATTGATTCTATACCCACTGAAATATCTTGCAAACAGTTAATTCCGAATATCCCTTCTCAATATGATAAACAAGATATTTTAAAGTGGATAGTATTAAATCCACCACTAATCTTACATATTGGCGATTGGGTTCGTAATAATGAACTGCAATGTGATGTAATTTTACAACGTTCAAATCTAAAACATGGTAAAAAGGCAGCTTTTAAATTTGTAAAAGAACCAAAAATAACTGAAATAAATAGAGTCACAGTATTATTTCAACAACCTCAAACCCTTCAAGATGCTTATTTATTAGAGAATGGCGTGATCTTAAACAAGGATGATGGATTGGGATTAGAACTTGATAAAATCCCTTTTTCTGAGCATAGTTCAATACTTAATTATCCTTTGGAGGACTTTAAACATGCTAAAAATCAATCTTCAAAGTCAATTTATTGCCAAATAATTGTGCGTATGGCAAAAATTTCATTTCGTCTTGAAGATATCAAGCCTCTAGAAGAATTTTCAAAGACAGTCAATAATGTACTTCAAAGTAATGAACCATATAAAAGTCTTTGCAAGGTGTTCGGAGATGACTATGGACATTTATTATCAAGAACTTTCACTTTAGGTGGAATTTTAACTAAAAAGTATGAATCTTATACAGATACGATTTTACCACAAACATTTGAATATAATATAAATGACCCTCAGACACCTGAAAAAGTTGTAAAAAAATTAATGGAATGGAATAAAGAACACCCGCATATAGATACTTCGTATTTTATTAGTGATAGTGGCGATTTAGTTCGTTGCAATAATATTAACAAGTGGTTTAAAGATCTTATAAACAGACGGAATGATTGGAAAGTCGTTGTTTCTGAAGATTGGGTGCCACTGTATAAAATATTGAAAAAAGCGCGCTTTGATATAGACAATATTTTTTTTACGAAGTATCAAATTGTATTTAATGGTGAAGAATCATTGCAGAAGGATGAACAGACTACGATAATCATTAAATTTCCCGGCTCACTTGTCAATGATAAGTATCATTGCTTTGGAACCATAGTTAAAAGAAATGAAGATGGTAGTTTGGTAAAAATTCCTAAAGTAACCGTTCGATTTGGTTACCCTAATAAAGATGGTTGTGTTGCTGATATATATAAAAATGAGAATTGCAATATACGGTATCTATTTACAATCCATAATACAGAATTTTATTATTTTAAAATTTATTAATAAAGTTTCTAACATTGATTTGTCTACAAAAGTTTAAATAAAGTAGATACAAAACTCCTTTGGTTCGTGCTTGCTGATCCAAAAGGATATTGCAGTAATAAGAACAGAAATGTTAAAGTTGGATATGGAAGCATTAACATCGTTAAAGCCCAATCTGAGATACCTTTAAAAAGTAAAAATCTCTCCTCAAATTGTGTTCTAATTACATCAATTGTTTCTAAAAATGCTTTCACAAATGATACAAGCTTTTATAACATAAAACTTAATGCTTGGACGAAAACTAAAATTTGGTTAGAATTAACGAAAGACCAAACTAAAGTAAATCAACGTGTTGATGATGATGGCTTTGATGACGACAACTCGGGTGATGATATAGATAACTTTGATTCAGACGAAATAGAACAATCTACTCAAGAAACTGCTATTCTTGAATGGTGTGTTCTTTATACAGATGGGAAGATGGTTAGTGAGGCTGATGAATCATTAAAATATCCATGGTCATTATTTGGCTGTAATCTCGATCCAGAGCTGGAAATTTTGGGTCAAGATGAAATAGACCTTTATGAATCATCACCTCGAATGTCTTTAGAAGATGCAATTGAACAACACGATAAACAAAATGGAAATACATTTGAGGCATGGAAAACGTTCGTTCATCATGCTAGAGAAGGAAACCATATTGCAAAATTCTGGATAGGACATTACCTACAACATGACATCCTTATGGCATCATCATTTAAAAGAAAATTTTATGAAGTTGTTGTTGACGAGTTTGCCGATGGAACAGATAATTATCTATTGGCTGCAATGAAATTATACAAACAATCTGCAGACGCGGGCTATCCAGAAGCCCAACTCAAATATGGGTTTGGCCTTTATAAGGGTATTGGTGTTAATCAAAATAAAAAGGAGGCCATGCGGTATTTTAAATTAGCTGCAAAAACTAATAACTCTACCGCAATGTATAATTTAGGAGTTAGTTTGATATTGAGTGAAAACGAAGAAGAAGGGAGAAAATGGATAATAGATGCAGCTAGACTTGGTCAACCAAGGGCAATTGAATTTTGTATTAATGAAGAAATTAATTATCAATGAATTAGGTTATTTCATTCATATAAGATTAATATTTATGCTAGAAATTGTACATTAATTTATATCCCTCATAAAATGATTTATGAAAACATTAATGCATTTGTATTATAATTCGTGTAAATCATTAATTATGAAATAAAATTTTGTCCAAAAATTCGGTGTGATTAAGGTTAATCAATAATATTATATACAAGTACCTATGCCGTGCATTATGCTAGGGCACTAGTGCCTTGCTTACAAAAAATTGCATAACGATATGATGCGATTAGGCGCAAATTGGTGGTACTATTAAAGACATAGGTACAAAGTATCAGCAAACACAAAATTTTCTCCTTAAAAGTGCCTGCGTCTAAATAAATGCCTGTTTTTTCGTGTTAGACAGTCTTTATGCTTATATCTTAAAGTGCTAACCAGTTAGGATAAGATAGTTTGGTACGCCCAGAGAGGTATGCCTCTATACCCAAAATAATTTTGTTCACATATATAATTCTATATTGTGTTTTGCGGTTGGTTTCTTGAAAATGTTTGTTTAGTTGATGATTAAAAAAGGTTATAGTTTGGTTTTTTATTATTATACTTATATTAACTAATCGAAAGTGTTACACGGTGTTCCATAAATTTGGAGAACCTAGTCATCAAATTAATGTAATATAGTCAGGTCTCTCTAAATGCAATTCGTTGGGACCAAACTTTTGACAATATGCATTTAGGAAATAATAAGAAAAATTGCATTTTTGGGGTAGCAATATATTTGACCAGAGCTTGAAGTTAAATTTGAGAAATATTACATTTAGAGTTGCATTTAATGAAGTCTGACTGTATAAGATTAACTTTTTTTAATTTTTAAACTTCTTTTTAATATTAAGACTAAAGTAATAGTTAAAAATTAAAATAAAACATAGATCTACAAATTGCTAGTTACACAACGGATTATAGTCTATAATAGATCTTTCTCTTCGTATCTTTAACCCTAAATATCTTGGAATTTACCAAGCCAATTTTGATAATTTTAATAATTTAACTACTATTAAAACTAGAAAAGTCCTCTTTAAAACTATAATTAGAAGTTCAAGCGATCTTTATTTAATAAAATCTTTTATATTCTTTAAAATCATTTTAATTAATTATATTATTACTTTGGATAAGCCAGATTTTAACTTAAAGAATATAGTAAATAATTAAACAATTTTAGATTAAGATCTTTTTAAACTACTTAAGGTTTAGACTTGTAGTTTTAAGCAAAAATTTTAAATATTAAAAAATATATAT